TGAAAAAGAGGGTTTTTTTCCAAAAAACCCTAGTCCAGACTACTTTCACTTTCAAAAGATCCTCTTTCGAAAGTGAGATTGGAAGAAGATATGCAAATTACCATGGAATTTGCATATCCTCTTTCGAAAACTCTACATAGTCCAGACTTAGCCGTAGAGACAGCCCTGAACCTCCCCTCCAAGAGGAAACCATGGTGCATTGTGGGTGAGGCAGGCCGGCCTCTCGAGGAGAGTGGACTCATGAACCTCCTGCGCTGCAGCTCCCCTGCGGCACCACGGTGTCCTTTCAAAGACCAAGTATTTCCATTGCCAACTTGTCACAAAAAAGCCTGTCAATTCTCTGTGAGAAACTCTGGCAAAAATATTTGTTTTGAATATCCCCTGCTGAAACACTTGCAAAGCTGCCAACTGACCAAAGAGCAGCAATGAGAAGGGGGACCAGAGGGTTGCCAGGCCCAGAGGGGTCTGATATGGAAAGGGCTGATCTGAAGAGCGGCAGACGGGCTAATCTAGATGGCAGGTGTTGCCGACTAGGCCGCCTCACTGCAGGTGAAATTCACCCCGGAGAAGAGGCCTCTGCTCCCACTTCGGTCCTGTTTGTAAATGCTACGCAGGCCTCCTGCTGGCCTCACGTACCGGAGTGGGCTCACGTGAAGGGCTGGCGAGGCAGCTGGTGAGCGATTGAGCCGGGTGTGGATACAACTTCCTGCCCACGGACGCGGCTAGCCAGTTAGAAATCAGTATCCACTGAGCCACGGGGTTCTACTTCCAGGAGACGCTGAGGTCAAAGGAAAGGAACATGGTGCTACTGCTCCCAGGAGCCGGCAGCTCCTCCTGGCCATGCATCCCAGCCATGTACCTCCCGGCCCGCCTATACCACCCCAGACAGGAGACAGGGCTGGGGATAGGGCTGGGGGCAGCACCACGTTCCGCTCCTTTGGCTGCAGCATCTCCTGGAAGCAGAGTCCCGCACGTCAGCAGACGCCAATTTCTATGCCCACCCCTGTGGGTAGAAACTGTATCCACGCAGGGCTCTCGTGGTAAATGTGGCAGGGGAAGACGTAGTGGCACAGACAGAGAGGTGGGGTTCCCACAGGCATGGCTTTCTGGTGGGCTCCTGCTAATCCAGAAGTTCTCAGACTTCCCTGTGCTGCGACCCTCTTCTAACAACAAAGATGAACCCCACAAGGCAGGATCAAAGCCTGAGCCTGCCCAAGCCTGATTGTGACAGGCGGGAAGCCAAAACCAAAGCCCGAGCTCCCTCGGCCCAGGCAGGAGGACAGGGGGAAACCCTCTTAAGAGCATTAGACCCATTTGTTGGGGCTCAGGCTTCAGCCCGGGGTGCCAGCGAGTCTAATCAAGCCCTGGTGATCCCATTAAAATGGGGTCCTGACCCACAACTTGAGAACAGCTGTTCTAATCCAGTCCTTTGCTCCCCAGATAACCTGGAAGAAAGCCACGACGACGTCACCGTAAAGATCATCTTTGCCATCGTCCAGGCCGTTGGGTTCTTCAACTCTTTCAACAACCCTGTGGTCTACACCTTCATGAACGAGAACTTCAAGAAGAGCTTCGTGGCTATTCTCTTCTGCCGCCTCCGGAGCCCTGAGCCAGCTGACAAGCTGGAGAGCCAGCAGCTGGAAAGGGCCAGAATGGGACCCTCAAACTTTGGGGTCAGGAAGGAGGGCAGAAGCTTGCACAGCCACCTGAGTGCGGAGAACCTGGAGCTGAGACTCTGTGAGCAGGTGCCCTCTGCGAAGCTGGAGTCCGTGCAGTCAGTGGCGGTCGTTCCCTATCCCATGGTGAGCACCCAGAAGGAAAGGCTGCCCAATGGGCAGTCAGCATGATCGCTACTGACATCAAGCATGCATGGACCAAAATAACTTTGCTTTAGGGAATGAGAACATGCCCCACTGTTCGTTATTTCCAGTGTTCTGTTTAGTCCTTGGTTTCTATATTGCATTTCCGGATGTCCAACTCTCTGTTTCAGATGTAACCCGTGGGATATGGGACATGGATACAAGGCTGCCAGTTTCCCCAATGCACAGGGAGGGAAGGAGGGAGGTGGAATGTTCCTTCTTTAGTTATTGTTATTTCGCTCATCTCCTCTCTTGAGCTGATGGTTCTGTCTAGTCCCAAAGAAATAAAATTTACAGGCTGGACCCAGAAGGCTTTGAGCTCCTGATTAGTAGGCACTGAAGGTGCTTTGCACCTGGCTGGATCAGGTCCTCCAGTAAATTAGAAGTTGGAAATGCATGAACCTTGGAAATCTTGATTTGGGAATTATCTGCCCTGGACTGATTCACAGGGTGAGGGTGAGACAGCCTGCTCTGTGCACAGGCCCTTTCTCATGGACCTTGCTCTAAAGTCCACGTGGCTAACAGTTGTCCCACCTGATCAAACAATGCTGCATCCCATCGAGTTGTTGCCATTCTCACACAGATCTGACTCCAGCGTGTGCAGCTGTGCAGGAAACGGTTTCTCCAGCCAAGGAGTGGTTCTGAGATTTCAAAATTTGCTTCCATCAAAATGAGGACAAAAAGTCAAAATCTCCAAAATGTTCACCGATCAAAAATGTTTAAAAAAATCAGATTGGGACTGTTGAAATATTCTGTCTTGATCATTTCTTTTCTAACAGTACTTAACAATGTAGTTAATACATTTAACTAAAATTACACACACGCACAAATCCTTTTCGAACCAGAGCATGAAAACTTCCCTGGACAAAACAGGATTCTCTCATCTTTTTGGGAAAACAATTCACCAATGTTTTGAAATGGGAGAGTCTTCCCAAGCAACCCTTTTCCAGGCACTGCTTCAGTTCTGATGACTCAGAAAAGTTTCAAACAATAAAGGTGGCTTTTGCTGAAAATTCCCAACCAGCTCTACAGACTAACTGTAATAAAACTGACTTGAGCCATTGACTTCAAAGAAGTCACTCCTCGTTGGTGCCGGGATGAAAGTACACCAAGGGCCCACAGTTTTGAGTCTCCGTGAGTTTGTTCTGAAACAACAAGGACTCACCAGCTTGCTGGAACATCTCACTGATGAGCGAACACAGACATTCTTCATGTGCCGGGAGGAAAAGGCTGTTTTATACGGGAAGCTACTGATCAAGTGCGTATTGCTGTCACCCTTGGCTGCACACTCTCAAGTCAATGATGTACCTGTCTAGCAATGCCCCATCATAATTAGTCCATTGGTTTGTGGTGGCTTTGAAGTGTGTTGAGATATTTTCCTTATTGTGAAAATTCATTAGCATCCATGCCTCTTGCTGCTGTGAAGCCTTTTCTTTCTAAGGAGAAGGTAAACTTGCTTTTGAAATGTGACATGGAACTGGCCTCTGACATACATTTCTACACACCGTTGAGACTTTCATTTTTGGTTAGGTCAATCGCTTTTCTGGGTTCTATGTCCCTGATGTTTGGAAAATAAAGTGTTGACTCAGAGCACTACCACCAGCCATGTAGACTATTTCATGGGGAGCTCTCAAAGCACTTGACAAAGGGTGGGTCAGTATAATTTTCCCAATGTTATGGTTGGAGGGGTTATAGAAAGAGGAAGTGAAAGGAACTTTCACTAAAGAAAGAACCATCAACAAATCAGGTAGAGAAAAAATCCAGCATGGATTCTGAATATAAATGTTACCTGAATATTTGTGGTCAAAGCTAGGAGCCCCATCATGGACCAAGACCCCACTGTGCTGGGAGCAATACAAACAGAGAACAAAAGGATGATCCCTGCCCCAAAGAACTTGCAGTAAGTAAAAATATATTCAGAGGTGATGTGTAAAATGACATGCTGATTGGGCCATCTCCTGGGGTACGTTGACACTGCGTGGCTATTTCGGGATACTGGAGGTATCACAAAATAACTATCCCACATCCTAACAAGCCGCTCATTATTTTGAAATATTTTTCGAAATAACAGGCACACTATTTCGCATTCCCTGTAAACCTGGTTGCACGACGGCTAAGGGATGGCCCAAAATAGCATGTTATTTTGAAATTTGGCACTGGGTAGGTGTGCCACATTTCAAAGTAAGCTATTTTGAGTTTAGGGTGCTGTGTAGACACACCCCTGGGCTACGTCTAGACTGCAAGCCTCTTTCAAAAAAGAGCATCTAGACTGCAAGCAGTACTTTCGAAAAAGCAAGCCGCTTTTTCGAAAGAGAGCACCCAGGCAGTCTGGATGCTCTCTTTCGAAAAAGCCCTGTTTGCATTCAAGAACGGCTTTTTTCGAAAGAGCACTTTCGAAAAAAGGCATTCTTCCTCGTGAAATGAGGTTTTCCGCTGTCGAAAGAAAAGCCGCATTCTTTCGATTTAATTTTGAAAGAACGCGGCTGTAGTCTAGACGCAGGTGAAGTTTTTTCGAAAAAAGGCTACTTTTTTTGAAAAAACCCTTGAGTCTGGACACAGCCCTGAGGAGACCTTCCCACAAGGGGCCAGAAGAAGATGGATGTTGAAGTAAGAAATTTTCCTTTTTTTACTCCCACCATCTTACCCCTTCTTAGTAGCTGCTTTTCTTGTGGTCTCCTGCTTTTTTCTTACCCCTTTGGGCCAGATTTTCACATGAGCTCAGCTCCCATTTAGGGTACGTCTCCACTGCAATGAAAGCCCCACGGCATGGCCACAGCTGGCCTGGGTCTGACTCTGCGGTGTAGACATTCAGGTTCGGAGTGGGGGAGGTATTGCAGTCGAGGTTCACTCACAGGTACTACGAGCATGAGGGAGCAGAATTCCTCAGCTCAGTACAGGGGGGGCGCTGAATGCTTTTGAAGAAATCTGTCCCTGGCAGTGGGAGGTGAGAACCGAAAGAATTTGGCTCTTAATATACAAGGGTGCATCTACACTGCACCATAACTCAAAATAAGATCCACTGTTGGAGCTACGCAAATTGCATATCTTATTTCAATGCTATTTCATAATAGCTTCTTTTGTCGTTTGGCGCTGTCTACACAGCACCCAATTTTGAAATAAAGCACTATTCCGAAACGTCTCTTACTCCATGGAGAAGGAAGTGTATAGGGATGTCGGAATAGCGAGCCCGAAATAACAAGCTTGCTGTGAAGACACAGGATAGCTATTTTGGGATACTCCAGTATCCCTAAATAGCCCTGCAGTGTAGTCAGACCCCAAGAGGCCAAAGGCTCCTTTTGTCCCACTCTCACATCACCTCTCCCTTGGCCTCTTCTCACAGCCTTTATAACTGTTTGGGTCAAGGCCCTTATGAAGTCAGTGGAGCTACACCAGTTCAGGACCAGTCTCCACTGAGATCTCCCTATCTCTTTCAGGAAAAATAAAAAAGTTATGGAAGAAAAAGGGAGAAAAAGTGGGGTCTGGAGTAAGAGAAAAGTGTGTGGGCATGGAAGCTGTTCTCCCAAGAAGGAAAACAACAGATTGGTAAGCTGAGGATAGGAAAAAGAGGTAAATCACAGAGGAAATAAGTCAAAGAAGGTTAGTAGATGGGCTGGAGAGAAAGAGACAGTGTGTAAGTGTGGCATATTGGCAACTGTGCTACCATTGTGATCACTATAAATGCTCAAGGGTTTTTCCTGTTCCTGCTTGCTGGCAGATGCTCAAGAAGGAAGTCTGTGATCAGAGTTCATTCAGCAGTCAACCTAGGGGGTGAGTTTTGCCTCTCTGTCTTAGGGATCAGCCTGCTTTGTCTCGCTCGGTTTTGGGTGCCTGTGTGTGAGCGTGTTGAATTGAGACAAGACAGGTACGGTGATGTTTCAGGCAGACCAGTTTCTGCTGGTAAAAGAGACAAGTTTTCAAGCTCCCCAGCATGCATTCTTTCATATGCTGAGACCAACACAGCTGTAACAACCCCGCATGAGTCACTCTCAATTGTAAAAAATAGTGTTACACTACAAGCTTCCAACACGAATATTTTTATGTATATCCGCTGTGTTGTATGCCGTGAACATAGTAACAGGTGAAAGCAGACCCAGAGAAAGACTGAGGTAGATGAGGACAAAAAAAAAAAAGAATGGAAACAAAACAAAATAAATTTAAAAAGGTAGAAGGAGAGAAACTAAGAGGAGGGGAGCCAAGTGGGAGGAGAGGGAAAGGAAGAGAGAACCTCATAAAACACCGTGTGTTTGCATTCGGCTTACTGATGCTCTGAGGCTGTGTCTAGACTACATGCCGCTGTCGGCAGAGGCATGTAGATTAGGGTTGTAGGCAAAGGTAAATGAAGCCGTGATTTAAATGATCACGGCTTCATTTACATTTACATGGCTGCCGCGCTGAGCCGACAAATAGCTGATCAGCTGTTTGTCGGCTCAGCGCGGCAGCCATGTAAATGTAAATGAAGCCGTGATTTAAATGATCACGGCTTCATTTACATTTACATGGCTGCCGCGCTGAGCCGACAAATAGCTGATCAGCTGTTTGTCGGCTCAGCGCGGCAGCCATGTAAATGTAAATGAAGCCGTGATTTAAATGATCACGGCTTCATTTACATTTACATGGCTGCCGCGCTGAGCCGACAAATAGCTGATCAGCTGTTTGTCGGCTCAGCGCGGCAGCCATGTAAATGTAAATGAAGCCGTGATTTAAATGATCACGGCTTCATTTACATTTACATGGCTGCCGCGCTGAGCCGACAAATAGCTGATCAGCTGTTTGTCGGCTCAGCGCGGCAGCCATGTAAATGTAAATGAAGCCGTGATTTAAATGATCACGGCTTCATTTACCTTTGCTGAATAAACAAATCTACATGCCTCTGCCGACAGAGGCATGTAGTGTAGACGTACCCTGAGAGACCTAGCGCCTAGGCTGGCAGAACAGAGTGGATTATGCATAAACTGCTGAGCCTTCTTTTTCTTCATGCTTGCGCAAGGAAGGTGCCAAAGAATCGGTGGCTCAAGACCCCTCCATCAGGCCATCCCTCTCTCCAGCTGCTTCCCTGCACAGACGAGGGGCCGCAGCCTGACACACTACATGGCTGCTGGTGACACTAATTGGTCTTCCTGTTGGCAGCCTTGGAAAACGAGCCACTTCCTTGTGCTGCAGTGGAAGGACCTGGAAGGCCAGGCCTGAGCCACATCAACAGTTTGCACCTCTGCTGCCCGTTATCGGGCCAAGAAAAGACGGGGTCCAAGTGGAGCGCGATACAAGACTGGCAGCTGGCCTGAGTTCGCTGGCTCAAGCTGCAGAGTGAGACAAATGCGAGATGTGGGGGCTCGGGTTGGATACCAGGCTCTGAGACCCTTCCCTGTCATGGAGTCTCAGAATCCTGGCTCTCATCTGGGCCCACACGTCGACATGGCAATTTTACACCCCCACAGCCCAAGCCCCGGTTAGCTGAGCCCGGCCAGATGTGGGTCTTTTACTCAGCCTAGATAGACTCATAGACTCATAGACTTTAAGGTCAGAAGGGACCATTATGATCATCTAGTCTGACCCCCTGCACAGTGCAGGCCACAGAATCTCACCCACCCCTCCTAGAATAATCCTCTCACCTATATCTCAGATATTGAAGCCTTCAAATACTTTGAAGACCCCAAGATGCAGAGAATCCTCCAGCTGTGATCTGTACCCCATGCTACAGAGGAAGGCGAAAACCCTCCAGGGCCTCTGCCAATCTACCCTGGAGGAAAATTCCTTCCTGACCCCAAATATGGCGATCAGCTGAACCCTGAGCATGTGGGCAAGACCCATCAACCAGAGACCCAGAAAGTTCTCTATAGTAACTCCTATCATCCCTCCATTGACCTATTTCCCACTGATAATGAAAGGTCAATTAGTTACCAAGATCATGTTATCTCATCAAACCATCCCCTTCATAAACCCATCTAGTTTAATCTCGAAACCAGATAGATCTTTTGCCCCCACTACTGCCCTTGGAAGGCCGTTCCAGAACCTCACTCCTCTAATGGTTAGAAACCTTCATCTAATCTCAAGTCAAAACTTCCTACTAGCCAGCTTATATCCATTTGTTCTTGTGTCCACATTGGTATTAAGCTTAAATAATTCCTCTCCCTCCCTGGTATTTATCCCTCTAATATATTTAAAAAGTGCAATCATGCCCCCCCTCAGCCTTCTTTTGGTAAAGGTAAACAAGCCAAGCTCCTTGAGTCTCCTTTCATAAGACAGGTTTTCCATTCCTCGGATCATCCTAGTGGCCCTTCTTTGTACCTGTTCCAGTTTGAATTCATCCTTCTTAAACATGGGAGACCAGAACTGCACACAGTATTCCAAATGGGGTCTCACCAATGCCTTGTATAATGGCACTAACACCTCCTTATCCCTACTGGAAATACCTCGCCTAATACATCCCAAGACCGTATTAGCCTTTTTCACGGCCATGTCACAATGGCAGCTCATAGTCATTCTATAATCAACCAGGACTCCGAGATCCTTCTCCTCCTCCGTTACTTCCAACTGATGTGTCC